GGATCCTCTACTAGCTAGGCTTGTGATGCTCATTTGAGCCCAGCTGAGGTTTGCAAAGACAATGAACCTTCAATGTTTGGCCTTTCTGGAATCATCAAGCTGACCAGGAGGTAAGCTGCAAATGTGTTTTAGTATTCCACAAAGACGTCCTATACCCTCACAATGGCCATGGCACGATGCATTGTTCCTATTTCTGGATGAGGAAACTGAGGCTTTTAGAGAAGGAAATGACCTGCACTGGGTCACACGCTGACGAGGGCCAGAGCTGGGATCTGGGGCCAGTGGTCTGACCCCACAGCCATGTGTCTACCGTGATATCACGAGGCCCCTCAAGGTCCTTTGGTCTCTCTCCTCATATCCTAATACCTTAACTTTGCAGGGGGAGGCCCTGGATTAAGATATATTCTTGAAAGAACTGTATTTGGGTGAATAAGCCTAGAAAGGCCACAGCGCTTCCACCTGAGAGTCTCAGACAGCTCTGCTCTGTACAGGTACAGGCAGTCTCGATGTCACATATTCAAGTCCTCGATTGACTGACTGTATTCACTGGACCTCGAGCTCCAAGGGACAGGGGCCTTACCTGTTTGTTCACTTCTACGTCCCCTATGAAAAGCACCTGCTGACGCACAGTATCTACTATGGAAATATCTGATGCATGAATGAGCTGAAAATAAATTTTAAAATAGCATTTCCAATTTTGTTAAATGATTAACTAAATATGATTTAATTTCTATGCCAGACTGCTTGGGTTCAAGTCATGGCTCCTTCCCTTTATTAGCAAGCTACTCAACCTGTCTGGACTTCATTTTCCTCATCTACAATATGGAGATAAGCATGGTACCCACCTCAAAGTTAGTACATAAAAGTGTTCAGGACACTGTTAGAACTGGTAGCTAACATCATATCGTCACCATTATCATCATCATTATCATTATTTGTTTCCATCTGTGAAGCAGGCCAGGGGCTTCCAGGACAAGGTGAATGAAGGTGCTATCTCAGGGTGACTCAGGTTCTGGGCTGCATCATGGAGAGTTCGCAGGAAGGGTCATGGTGTCCCTTGAGAAGTATAAGGAACCGACTCATCGATGAGCATGAGGGGAAGTGAATGAATGGTGGTTAGCACGAGCTGGAAAATGCACATTCGCTTGAGTTGCTCAATCTATCCGGTGACAGCAAGGCCCTCCGATTCCCTGAGAGAGCCAGGTATGGGTCCTGGGGGCCAGGAAGGTGTTCAGGGCACAGGGTCGAAGTGATAAGAGTCTGGCTGGGTGAGGCAGGAAGCCCCAGACCCAGGCCTGAAGGCTGGAGGCACTGGAGGGCATGGGAGAATCCCCATGGCCTCAAGCTGGAGGCCCTGGAGCCTGTGACACTGCGGGGTCTTTGGAAGGAGGAGTGAACACTTCCTGGGCTGTTGCTGGCTCAATGTGGGGTGTCCCTCAGCCTCCCGCCTTCCTAGGACCCATCTTTCACTTCCAAAGAGAAAGGCACTTTCCTCCCAAGACCGGGACTCTGATGCCTCCCCGACACCTCGGGGGAGTCTCAGGGCCTCATGCTTCTCCTTAGAGCTTCTGTGTCTGTTTTGGTTGAATCCTTTATTTCCACCCCAGTCTCACCTCTCGAGGCTGCCAGTCTCATTTTTCCCCAACCACCTTGTCAGCCCAAGTTCCTTTACCCCTCTCTCCAAGTAATAATAACAACGGCAAAAACAGCATTTACCATGTGCCTGTACAGGTGCTGCGCCTGTTACTTTACAGGAAATAACTCGTTTAATCCTCATAACACTCTGTGAAACAGGTGGCCCCATTACCATCCCCAGATCACAGATGGAGAAACCAAGGCACAGAAGAACAAAGTCTGAACTTTATGGAAGAGCTGGCAGGTGGTCTCCTGGGGGTCCTCCTGCCTGAGCTTTGAGTACATCCTCAGGCCACAAATATGTCTGGCAGCCAGACGAGGACCCTGGTGTCCGACCTCTCTGGCAGTGACAGTGAGCCCCTCTGTGTTACTTAGAAGGCAAGAAGGAAATGTCAAGGGCAATTTGGAAAAAAAACTCACCCATGGGCTTTGGCATTTTGGCTGAAAGAATAAAAACCCAACCTACAGAGGCTTTAAAAATAAGGACACTTATTATCTCATATACCCCCGGAAGTGAGGGAGAATCAGGGCCTGGTTAATTCAGCCCTTTAGTGACATCCGCAAGGACCCAGGTACTGGGACTTGGGCTTTGCCCTCCAGCTGGCTCTCCTCCTTGACTCCATATGGCTGCCACTTCTCCTAACATCATGACATCTCCCCACTAGAGAGGGTAAGAGCCTGTTTCTTTTTTTCCCTTTATCCAAGAACTCTTATATATAAAATGTTTTAATATTGGTATCATTGAGAACTTTACATAATGTTTTATAAATGCTCTTTTTAATTGTAGTGAGAGCATTAGACGTGAGATCTATTTTTTAAATGAATTTTTAAGTGTACAATACAATACTGTTGGCTGTAGATGAAACTTATAGCAGATCTCTAGAACTTAATTCATCTTGCACAACTAAAACTTTATGCCTGTTGGACAGCAACTCCCCATTTCCCTATGACAGCCACCGTTCTCCCTGCTTCTGAGTTTCGCTAGTTTAGATGCCTCATGTAAGTGGAATCATACAGTATTTGTCCTTCTGCCACTGGCTTATTTGACTTAGCATAATGATCCAGCGATTCCACTTCCGGGTATCTATCCAAAAGAATTGAAATCGGGATCTCGAAAAGTTATTTGCACTCCCGTGTTCACTGTGGCATTACTTGCAATAGCCAAGAAGAAACAACCTAAATGTCCATCGACAGACGAATGGATCAAGAAACTATGGTATTTACATGCAACAGAATAGTATTCAACCTTAAAAAGGAAGGAAATCCCACATTATATGAAGGACAGTAAGCCCCTGACCATTTTGAAGAGCAAGGGAACCTTTCCCAGAATTCCCAGCGGTACCTTTGGCCAGAATTACATCCCAGTGCAGCCTGAACCAATCACTGGCAAAAGGAAAGGGGCCACTGTGATTGGTTTAAAACAACTGGGACCCACCCCTCGGAGCCTGGCTGAAGCCCATCTTCCCTGAGTCTGTGAGATGGGGTGGTAGAGTGTCTGAGCAAAACAGGGTGTGTTAGGAAGGAGGAAGTGGGAAGAATGGCTAAAACAAGGAATAGCTCATTGCTGCTGCCAGCACATCTGTCTTGCGCTATCTGGACCCTCTGATTCTATGCTTTTGATCTGCTTCTCCCCCTCTCCATGTTC